TGTTGCTTATCATTTTCGTATCTCTACTGAGATCCAGCCATTGTTTCCCACAGCATTGTTGTTTTCCAGTATTTTGCCTTTTAATCTATATATATATATATATATATATATCACTAGCATTCCCCTAAGTTTCAAAAGCCCAATCAATTTTGGAGGATCTTGTGAAAAGAATTACTTTTATATGTAAAAATGCTACAAACTTTATTATTTAAGGCAGTCACGTATATAACTGATCAGTCACGTTTCATATTGTATGTAGTAGATGTGTGGAACTAGCACACTAATTGAAGTCTCACTTTGACATATTGCTGATGAATATGCTGGTACCAATTCTCCTTGGACTGCTGTTGCAATGAGAGGCCATGCAAGTACGTTCCCATACATTTGACAGCTTTTGAACAATGTTAAACGCTCGTGGGCTGATAGCACATAATCAAATACGTTCACCTATATGAATGAATATAGAGAAATTTCAACAAAGATTCCAAGATAACGATTCATCTATTTCTTCATACATATAATCTGAAATTTGTTTAAATGCTGTAAAAAAAAAGGCATACATATTATTTAAAAATACTTTGTACTAAAATACATATATTCGTTTGTACTTCCACTCCTGGTGTGCATAATTGATGGTAATTCCAATAAATGTTTTTCTTGTTCCATTTATTTTTTTACATCCATTTTTTTCCATCACCTCAATAATATTCTTGATCTTTATGTTTGGAATAGCACATAGATCAAGTATGTGATAATAAAAGTTGATGTACATTGACAATTTACGCTTTTAAGGTAATTATATATTTTATTATTATAATTATTATTATTATTATTATTATTATTATTATTATTATTATTATTATTATTATTATTATTATTATCTTTGGTATTTTCAAAGAATTAAATCATTTCTACTCTGGTGAAATATTGTCATATAAATATACGAGTTCAGTGGAAATGATTTAATTGTTTGAAAAAAAAAATTAACAGTTACTTATATATTCTCATAAGTTACCTGGCTGATTCTTCCAACAAAAGCTTCAATTTGTACAAAAGAACCACCTAGACTGTCTTGTTCCTGTCCAATAACAAACGCCCCACCTCCCCTGATGAAGTTTCCACGCTGGACACCGCCATCAGAATTTGCTAAAACGTTATCCAAGTATATATACCAGGAGCCATCCAGACTGTCCCATGTTATACAGATGTGATGCCTGACTCCACTGTGAACAATATATATTATATATAATATTATATAATATATATATACTGTATATAAATCACAGATGTTGCGTAGCACAGTGCACGAAAAAGCATAGCTCTTTAACAACAAAGAAATTCCTGATTGGAATTGAGCTTAAGGATTTCATATTTTTAAAGCATTTTTTATTGGTCTGTCCTATGTTTTTTGATGTTCAAATTGTTTTACACGGGGTTTTCTAAAGGTTTTTTTTTTACTTTTTAAGAAACTTGAATAAATTTAAATTGATTGAATTTAATTTAATCCGAATTTAATTAATTATTTAAAAAATATTATACTTTAACCTAATTATTCAAATTATTACTGCTATTTTTTTTTCAACTCACTCATTTGCTTTTACACCTGTATAGATATGCTCTCCATTTATATCTAATATGAAATTCTTGTAGTTCAAAAGAGTAATGGCATTATCTACCACACTGCCATCCAGGCCGATGGTAGCATATGATATCGGCGTCCCAAAGTTTGCTTCATCAGAAGTCTCCATCCAAAATGAAATAGTGAAAGCATACAAGTCTGGTATGTCTCTATATATAGCAAAGTCTGATAGTTTGGCACTTGGGAACAACAGGTCAAAATTTGAACTCAACTCTGTAAGTAAAAGCAGTTCTATATTTTATAGAAATTGTATATAATATTTAATTGTATTATTTCTGTTTTAGAGGTGGATGCATCTGCATTACAAACGAATCGTATTTTTTAGTATATTCTAAGCCGAAAGGAATGAATGAATGTATTGTTCGACAATTAAATTTTAAATTAAATTATTTTTATAATTGCAATGTTTGATGGTGCTCGTTTTGCCTCTCTTTTAGTGGCGTTCGAAAACTAAAGGGAACTGGTGTCTATTGTTGCTCCTAGAGAAATATCCACTACTCTCGCACCATGTAGCGATCGGTACACATCTAGGCCCAGGTTAAGTTAAAGTGGCTTTGTAAGGATTTCTGAAAATATTAAGATAGTGATAAATAGATAGTCATGGGTAGTGCAGACTCATCGTATACTTAGGTCCGCATCATCTACTTCTACCAATCTGTATTGTCCTTCTGGTCCGTTGCATTGAATAAATAAATCCAATGCTTAAGTAAAACGAAATCTAAAGGTTAAACTTTCAAAAAAGAGGAAAAAAGTTGTGTTTGCACATACCTATTTGGCAGTGGGTACCAATAAATCCAGGAAGACAGATACACTTAAAGTCATTAACTAAATCTTTACAAGATCCACCATTTAAGCATGTGACATTGTAACATTCATCGAGCTCTATTTCACAGTCGAGACTGGCATATCCTGGTTGGCACAAGCAACGGTATGAGTTCAGTCCATCAATACAGTGACCACCATTCTGACACGGCTGAGAATGACATTCATCCACCTCTTCTGCACACGTCCAACCTTCATACCCTGGTGGACAACAGCAAGTAAAGTTCTGTGAAAAAAAGTGGAAAATCGCATTACTTACGTAACTCAGTTAATTGAGGTTGTCGACTAATGGCTAAAATGAAGTCTTATGAATTTGATGGATTTAAGCAGAGAGTAGTAGTCAATGGGAAGATGTCTGAATGGTGGAGTATCCCCAATGCAGTGTCCTAGGGCCATTATTAATTTTAATTTTTATAAACGACTTGCCGGATGTTATTTCTCATTCTGATATATAGTAAGACAACTTTTTGAGGACGATACTAAATTATTTAATATTATTCAATCCGATTCTGATAGAGCTCTCTTTCAATATGATGTTGATGCAATGTATCGATGGTCTATTGGTATTTTAACCCTTCAATTTAACAAAATGCAAAATACTTCATTTTGAAACACGATGTTTCAATATTATATTGGTGAGGGTGCTTCCAGAGTTAGCATAGAGAGTGTCAATAAAGTAACTGATCTAGGAATTGTAATTGATCATAGATTTATTTTTTTATGCTCATGTTTCTAAGATTGTAAGATATGTCGATCTTGTAACTTTCTTGATGGTTCGATTTATCTTTATTTATATAAGTCTATGAGTAAACCTAAACTTGAATATAGTGGAAGTGCATGGATTCCTCTTTACCAGAAAGATAAAGTTCGTTTAGAGAAGGTCCAGCAGAGATCTATAAATCTTGTACCAGAGCTAAGAAATAAGACCTATGAGGAGAGATTAGGTCCTTAGATTTACCTACACTTGCTTTTAAGAGGAAAAAGACTGACGTAATACAAACATTCAAATTATTTAGAAATATAGATAGGGTTAGTATTGATAAGTTTTTAAAATGTCGAGGTTTAGCCAAACTAGTAGACACAAATTCATGGTCTCTAAGCCGAAATTTAAAGTAAATGTTAGAAAATCTTCATTATCACAGTTAGAGTAGCTAACGATTGGAATCAATTACCAAATCATGTAGTTGAATCTAAGACAATCGATGAATTTAAATTGCCAAATTTTGGTCCAACCAGCACCTTACGGGACGCCCTTATGTTACGGAAGAGTTTGCACAAATGATAATTGAGGGACAAATGAGCTACGTTCTCTAGTCCTAGTCCAATGTAAATTCAAAGTAAATTACAATCTTTTTTTTATAAGGGCACATTTTATAAGAACACTGGACTGAAACTGCTTAAAAATTAAGAACAAAATAAGAATAAATTGAGGCTCAGGTAAAATGTTAAATGATATGTTTATTTTTAAAAACTAGAAAAACCCAAAAATATCTGTATGTGTGTAGGTGCGACTTTGCAAAACAGTAGGCCTATTGTAAATATACTGTACTTACCGTACCTGTCATTTGGGGCCATTTTTACAGGGGCCTTTATTCTAGGGCCTTTTTTTCGGGAACCTATTTTTTCAGGGCCACTTTTACCTACATTTTAGTACAGTGTATAATGCTCTACAATAATAATTTTTTATGTTTGCAAATTGTGTAAAATAAGAACAAAATAAGAGCATTTTGGGTCCGAAATCGGCCAAAAAATAAGAACACTGAGCCTGGGCAAAATTTTACTGTTTCTTATGAAAAAAAAGAAGAAAAGGAGTGTATAGTAGGTCTATTATTCGTGAACCCTATGTGATATTTGTAATCAATATAGAATATTATTCTGGTAAATGAGGTGAAAATAAACATCCTCAATTGCAGCAGAATAGGAATTCAGTTGCATAAACTAAAACATCAATAGGTTAATTACTGGGACAAATATAAAAGAATGTGAAAGATGAATTATGTAAGATTAATAAAATGTAAACATCAAGACCAAAATATTAACCATACCTAGGTTATTCACTGTATTTATAAACAAAAGAGTACATGCATGACCAAAAAACAAGATGTAGTTTTATTTCTTTAGCACAATCTTCAAGAATAGGTAGGGCAAATTGTGCATATATTTCCTTCACTACAACATGAATGGCTTAAATGTCCAATGCATGACTAAAGTTTTATATTAAAAAGCATATTATTACAATGCAATACAGATGTTGAATTGTGTAGCTTACCCCAATATGATCAAAGCATGTCCCTCCATTAACACACGGATTACTGGCACAGTCATTATAGTTAATTTCGCATAATCGTCCAGTAAATCCTGCAGCACATGCACATGTATAGCTGTTTAGACCATCCACGCATACTGAATTACCACGGCAATGATCTAATTATCAAATAAAACCATTTTTAATCAATGAAGTTAATAATTATTTCAGTTCAGGTGTCTATCATGTAATTCAATTTTTTAAATGTTTTTATTTAACCCTAACAGTACCTACATTTGTACAAGTATAAAACATTAAATTCTATATTCAAATTGATTACTTTGTATATCAAGATTATTAGAAGTAATTATCAATCATAATTAAAACAATTTTTGTCCATTAACATACAAATACGTACTACTGTTCCGATATAAGTATGTATTAGTCTGTAAAGTTATGCTTCAAAAATGTATACATGTGTAACCACCGATATTTTCACTGCATATAAAGCAGATGGTCCCTAGTTCGAATTCCGGTTGGGGCATTTTTACGCACTCGCATAAGATAAGATAACATATATTGTCCAATAAACAACTCGAAATTTGTTTTCTTCTAGTAATACAAAGACGCAAAAGCAATTACAATTAAAATATAATTCATAAAAATATTTGATATCTGATCACTTAAAAAGAAAGGACATTTAGAAAGAAATTTATAAAAATATTGATAAAAATATATTCCTTTTTCTTTGAAAATATATTTTGACCTTGTACAATTTTTTGTGAAAGTAACGATCATTGGTGTGAATATGTATAATTATATATATATATATATATATATATATATATATATACATTTATAAATTGATAAATTTATACAATAAATGTGTAATAAGTTATGTGTTTTACATGCTTCTGCGGCATGAACTACTAAATTAATGTTAATTTACTATTTATTATACAAATGTACGATTACACAGAAAAGACAACAGTAACAGCAACTGCAATGGTTGCAGCATACAACAATAATAATAAATATAATGACATTACCTGATCTACTAATGTACACATTAAAATGAATAAATAAATATAGCTTATGGAACTTCTGCACATTTGATGTTTCAAGCTTAACCTAATGTATGTATGTATGTATGTGTATATTTGACATTTAAAACAACTTATGTATTTTTCTACAATAATACAAACACCTACTATTTTTACAATCATCAATGTTGACCACACATGTTCGGCCTTTGAAACCAGTTGGACAAACACACATGAACCCGTTGACTTGGTCAACACATGTACCATCATTCTTGCAAATCCCAGGTGAACAATCTTCCACGTTTACCTCGCAGTTATCACCTGTAAAACCGTCTCGGCAAATGCATTTGTAACCTTTTTCTAAGTCATAACAAAATCCATTATTTAGGCAGGGAGACATCAGACACTCATCAATTACTGCAGAAAGAAATAAGTGATAAAATAAATTATCTTAATAATTAAAAAGCGTATTATTAATTTAAGTAACTAAAGGGTGCGCTTACTTCCCTCGCTTACCTGTAATAGGCCATGATTAGTTACCTCGCTCAGTTATTTTCTTTACGTTCATGTCAGAAATGCAGTGGTAAAATTATGTTGTATGACTTACAAAGCATGCTTCATGGACAATTATCGTTTTGATAACAGTTTCATATCATTTTTCATAACATAAAAATATTTAGAAACCACTAAAAGTATGAGATGAGACAGTATTGGTCGGGGACAGCTAAAGCAACGTTTTATTTTAACCCATTGAGAAACCCAAAACCGACTGTGCTTGAAGACAATCTACCGTGTTTGTTAACCGACCATGCCTGAAAACCGAATGTACTTGAAAATCGGCTGTGCTTGAAAGTTTCCCTTTTGGCATTCCATTTCAAACCGCAAAACTGTACATTGAATGTTGCTTTTTTGGCGTTCCATTTAAAACCGAAAACGACTGAGAAACGGCTACCGAATACGTCAACAATATTCGGTCCAGTGAAAGATGGTCAAGTGAAAAACGTCGGTAAAAGTAATTATTTTTCTCACAATTAATTTGAAATATGAATTGATATTCACTTCAGAAATTCAAAAATTTTATCAACTATGTTGTTACATTTTTTCAGATCGGTAGGTTTCAAACCCCAAACGTTTATTGAGGCCCTTGGATTTGCATTGTGATTTTCGGTTTGAAATAAGCGTAATTAAAATAATATAAATACAACAATACTAATACAATGGATAAGGATATCAACGAGTGCCCTTTCATTAAAATATCTATGGAAATCCAATACAAAGAATGTACAGTATGATTCACTTGCAAATTTCTTCGCACGTATCTAAGAACGTACTAAGTATTCGAAATACACTCATATATATTTTTTTAACCAATTAAATTTGGTGTGAATAAGTGTGAACAATTTTTAATTAACACATATTCTTACTCTGATACTTATGAAAAGGTTAATACTTTTTCCGTAAGAATTGATGATTGATCATAATATGTTAGTAACACTTTTTATATTAACATTTACCAGTTTGCACTGTGCTTATCTCAATACCGCGTGCACCTGTTATATACATTTAGACTTACTCTGACAGAAGTCTTTTGACCAGGCCCCTTCCACTGCTGTGTATGTTCCATTAGGACATGAACGGCACATTGATTGCTTGCTTAGCGACTGGTATGTTCCAAACGGACATTGCTTGCAAGGAGTAAGACCACTTGATGAATAATTTCCAGGTTTACAATGACCTGTAATTGAAAATAAATTATTCTTTTGGCATTCCATATAAAACCGCAAAACTGTATGTTGAATGTTGCTCTTTTGGCGTTCCATTTAAAACCGAAAAACGACTGAGAAACGGCTACCGAATGCGGAAATACGTCAACAACATTTGGTCAAGTGAAAGATGGTCAAGTAAAAAAGTCGGTAAAA